AAATGATTAGATCATGAAAGCTTTCAGTTAATCAGTGGATTAATCCACTGATATGGATTAACTGGATGATAACTCTAGGCAGATAAGGTAGGACTGGAGGAAGTGGGTCACTGGGGATATGGCATTGGGTCTTTACTTTGTTCCTGGTGAGTGGAGTGCTCTCTCTGCCACACTCTTCCACCAGGATGTTCTGCCTCACCTCGGGCCTAAAGCTTTGAGTTGGGGACCACAGACTGAAGTTTGAATCTGTGAGTCTAAATAACTTTCTCTTAAGTTGTTCTTGTCAGGTCTTTTGGTCACAGGGACACAGAGCTTGACTAAAACACTCCCTTAGCTTTAGACCCATAAGCATCTATAATTGGGAAGTGGCCCTGGCCATATTGAATCGAGAATGTCTTCCCCAGGTTGGTAGCACCACTGGCCATGGGCATTTACAGTTGCTTTGGGTTTCACGTAGAAGCTTTCTAGTTAGGACATTTAAAGCATCCACTGATGACTACTTGGAATAGTGAGCAGAGTCCCCAAGCTCAACAAGTGTGGTCAGAGGCTTCACCTTTGTAGGAGATGTTCCCAGGCAGTGCAATATGTTGGCTTGCCATCATGAATGGGACTCAGCCTACCTTTCCATCAACCTGGTTTCTTTCTTTTTTTGCTTATTCTCACTAACAATATAAAGTTGGCTTTTGTGACAAATTTTTATTCAAGAAACCCTTCATTTTAGTAATTCAGTTTGTTGGGTAAAGACTCATCAAAGTCAGGAAGGACCTTCATGGGTCTGTCTCAGGCCATGCTGGGCAGGGGCAGGTCTGAGCAGGTTGGGACGGGGACTGCCATCTTCCCCACTTCCCTGGGACCGCCTGCCGTGGCTCCCAGCCTCAGCACCACTGCACACTCCTCCACATGGCTGTGACACCTCCCCTTGAGTGACTTTTCCTTCTAAGTGGGAGGGGAGAGAGACTGAGAAGAAACCTCAGCTGCTGCTTAAAACAGCTACAATGGGCAGCTCCAGCTGGTGTCCTGAAAGTTAGACTGAAATCCTACACCTTTGTCCCTTGAGAAAATTGATTTTTGCAAACTCTTCTGGCGTTACACTAAATTTTAAAGCAAATGTCCATCTGGGATGTCAAGGACACAGAGGGGACTGGTGTCATTCAGGATTAGACCAGGACAACGTCCTGCCCTGGTSCAGTGGGCTCCATCTTCTACTCCAAGAAAGCGTCTCAATGAGTTAAGTTTTTTTCCTGAWCAAACTCAAAGGTTCCTTGGCCCTCTGACGGGGGATGGGAGAGATGTCTGCCCCAATTCTGGTTCCTTGGACCGTCCAAGGATTTTGCTGCTGGAACATAAAACAAACCTGGTGCCCCTTTGCCAGGACTTGCTTGGCTCCTCTTCTCTCCTGTCTCATTTCAGATTCTACTCCTTCCAGCCTCAAGCTCCTGCCCTTCTTTGCTTTCCAGTCTTTAGCACTCTCTTAGTCACAGTTTACCTTTTAATTTCTGCTCTCCCCCCCCCTCCCACTTTAGATGGCACCCAGACAGATTCCTTTCTGGGGGGATCCTTCTCTGCATGGGCTTGCTTTGTCATTGCTCTTGGTCATTCTAATTGTCCAGGCTTGTCAGGCCCAATTCACAGTGGGTGGTGGCCGAGCTATGTGCATGTGCCAGGAAGGTGCAAAGGTATTAGGAAGAGGAAATGGATGATGATAAGCAGCTGGCCCTTGTCARGGCTGCAGAGCACTGGGCAGAACACTCAAGTTAGTTAAGGAAAATGGTGGCAGGTATGCAGTAAACACTGGTCATCTCAATTGGTTTGTCTAGGACATTGTGGAATGTCCAGGGACATGTGGAGGCACAGCATCCGCTGGAATGAGAGTAAAGGAGAGACCTGCTGAGAGTCTGCATTTAGGATGGGCAGCAGAAGGCAGGTGACACCTAAGGCCAGAGGAGGCAGGAGGCTGATGGCCTGGTCCATAATTTACACCAGGGACCCCTACTAGAAACTGATCTTCTGTCGTGGTATCCAGATCTTAGAGAGCTCGGTCTCTGCGGGTCAGGACTTGAGACTCGTGAAGTACGAGGTGAGTCTACCTTCAAGGTTTTTCTCAAGTGGTGAGAAGATGGGGTTGGGCATCCTTCAGGACACTCATCTTTAGTGGACTGGTCTGCGGTGCGTAGGCCCAATGAGGAATGTTCCCCTGTTGTGCTTCAGATAAGAGAAGAAGCAATTTCAATATGTCCAAAGGCAAGAGGAAATTCTCCTCTACACATCCATAGGAAAAGCTGACTTCAGCCTATAATGCAAGATTCCACCTTTGGGTCATTTTACCCTTGGCAGAATAGAGACAGGGGAATTTATCTGGACAGTTACTGTCCTAAGCAGATGAGATGATGGTCTCAGAGGGGGTGGCCTCCATCTGCTCCTGTGTATGTAAAGTGGAAATCAATGATGGGTGAGCTGAGCTCTCTCCCATCCCTGGAGACATAGTCCAAGTATTCTCACTCCAGCTCTCTGTTCTTGCCTTAGAGGAGCTTAAGATCTTTTGCCTTTTGCTTGATTTTCTAAACACTTCTCTCAGTTCTTTTTTTTTTTTAAATAATAAAGTTTCTTCTGACTCAAACAGACCTTCTCACTCATATAGACTTCAAAAGAGGAATCAGAAAACAACAACAAAAACTCAGGCTTTTATTAGCATAGATTTATTCTATAATTTCACATTGGCAACATTTTACTTTGTAGATTGTCAATCAATGATAATGAGGCCATTTTCATGAATACAAAATCACATTAAATCAGGATGTAATGGATTACTCTCACATCACTGGTTGAACAGTATTGAGAAAAATACTTTAGAAAGATAAATGATCACAAATGAATGGTACTTTTTTAAAAAAAAGTTGTTACAATCTCAGGATATTCTTCRGTTAAGCTAACTCACAATCCAAAAGAATAACTTAATGTTTCAAAGTCAAGTCATTAACAATTGTCAACAACTGCTGGAATATTATCACAAGTATAAAAGACAAGCATTTTCAAGAATTGCTGAAATGGTCTCTAAATGCAAAGGTATCACAACTGGACTGGAAGATTCTATCTTTTTACTTGTTCCTGGACAACTAGAAGAATAAGGAAAGCATGCACTGAGCTGATGACAATAAGCATCACGAAAATCCCAAGAGCCTTAGTGTATCAAGGGTTTTCCAAGTTCCAGACATCAAGAGAAGTGCTAAAAGGGTGTTATGTCACTTGCTCCTAATAACCACCCTGTATTATAATCTTCCCATTTGCAGATGAGGAAACTTACATTCAAAGAAGCTAAGCAACTTGGTTACAGTTGCACAAATCTGCCATGAGGCTGTGCATCAACTGTGTTGGAGCTTCACCTAGCATGTAACTAAATGGTGCTCGTCTAAGCTGTCCTAGCACACTTGACATGGCATGTGTGGGCCAGATGCACACGCTCATTAAGCCTATGAACAATTAAAGGAAGTTTGGATATATGCACAGATAGCAGCAGGGACGCTTTATTCCAAGTTCTGCACAAAAGGAGTCACTGAAAACAAGCAAACCTAAGGGTAACTGCTGGCATGTTAACTTTGGGCTTTTGACACATTTGAGTCTACCTGTATTTACTAGATATTTACAGAGTTCAAGGTGTAATTTGAAGATGGGACTGCTGAAAACTCTCTGCAGAATTTTGAGGACACAATTTGAAATCCACTAAGATGGTGGAAAGTGGACAGGCTCAAGTCAGGAGATCCTGAGCTGCTTCTTAGCATTTTGGTGTCAAGGAGACTACGTAACCCATATGACCTTCAGCTAATTTTTATATAAAATAAAATTAAAAACCCCTATAAAGAGTGGGGTTGCTGCACACTTAGATGTGTGTGAATGCCTGGCACAGTGCAGGCCCTCAATAAAGGGGAGGTCCTTCACTCTCCTTTTTGTTCTCTATGGCCACTAAACCCCCTTCTCCAACCAGACTGGGCCCAGGCCTTGGGGTCATCTGTTCTTCAGGGTCTGACATGGCACCCAGCACAGAGGCAGGAGGAACACTTCTCAGGAAAGAGAAAAAAGAAACCTATGGGTGGAGATGGTCCCATTCATTTAACCATGACCCACGACCTTTCTGCTGGGACTGTGAATTTGTCTACAAATATGGTTACTTTGCTTCCACTTGTCTGTACCAACGACTTATCTCATTGGAAACTTCCAGAAGGCATAGCCCATCTTGCAGGTTTGTACCTGCTCAACTGTAGGCAGTAGCTGGAGGTTTATAGTTCCTGTACGGTGTCTAGCAATGCTAGGGATGCAGCAAGAACTGGCTGAGTTGAGACAAGGAGATTCTGGACAAGCCAAGTCACTTTGTGACTTTCTAACTTATTACAAAAGCTATTTTCTTTTCTAGCATCAATTCTTTCTTCTATGGTACAGGTAAACTTTGGTCTATTGGGGGTATTTAAAGGAAACCAGAAGTCTGGGTGTTTTGGATGTCTTTAGACTTACTATCTATTATTTGGAAGTTAATTTTTTTATTAATTAACAATCTACTTAGGGGGTAAGAAACTCCAAACATTTTTTTTTCTAGAAAGAAAAAATAAAGACTTGGCTATCATGCCTTGACTTCAATTCTATACATTAAAGAAAATATCATAAGGGTCTTAGTTTAAATATACAAACGTCCCAGGTCCACTGGTTGGCAGTGGTCTTAGCAGTTGGTTTGTAGTCATCGCCCTCATTATCCAAGTGGCCACGGCCTCCCTCTGGCCCTTCAATAGTCTCATTTTCTTTTCCTTCTTTCTTTCTTTTTTTTTTGGGGGGGGGGTGTAGGATACTGGGGATTGAATATTCGGGGGCACTTTGCCACTGAGCTACTCCCCAGCCCGTTTTGTTTTTTTAAATTTTGAGACAGGGTCTTGCTAAATTGCTGAGAGCCTCACTAAGCTGCTGAGGCTGACCTTGAAGTTGGGATCCTCCTGCCTCAGCCTGTCAGTTCGCTGGAATTACAGGCGTGCACCAGCGCGCCCAGGGATATTCTCATTTCCAAAGGAGGCCTCTTCCTCCTCTTCTTCCCGTACTACCTTCATCAACTCCAGGAAGTTGGGAAGCGGGCCCTGATCCTTTAGCTCCCTAAGCCGACACCAGAGAACCTCACCAAGGTTGGCCCCAGCCATGACCTGCTCCAGGCGGACCTGGTCCACGATATTCTTGGGGATGGCCCGTTTCTCCACAGCTCTCCGGAGCAGGGTTTCTAGTCTTAGCAGATAGGCTGAGACTTTCTCCCCTTCCTCCTGAAAGGTCTTCAGGTATCTCACCTGGGAGGTCCTGCGGCTCTCCAGGCTCCCAAACACCTGTTTAAAGGCCTCCAGGCACTCCTCCACACTGACGGCTGGGTTGTCWGCCTGCACTATGTGCATGAGGTCCAGGGCGGGGCCTCGCAGGCTCTCCACCAGCCACCTCTTCTTTTCTGCCTCTGAGACGGGCCACTCTTTGACTATCTCAGTGGCTTGTTGCAACCAGACCTCAAATGGCTCTTCCTCTGGGCCAGGCTTGGCACTCCCTGAGAACACTCTCAGTTTCCGATATCTCATGGGTAGCAGGGGCTGAGGGGCATGTGCCATTGCCTGTCCCAACAGATGGGCCAGTAACTCTGGAGATATATAGGGTACTGTAGCTGGAGATACCCCATCGTGCCCAAGGGCTCGGAACATACTTGAGACTGTCTGTCCCTCTTTTTCTAGAAAGATGTTCAGTCTTTCAAGAAATTCAGTGTCCTGGTTAGGGGTCTTAAAGATCACTTTCCAGACACCCCCCTTTCCCTGAACCTCACTAGGGATCACTGAGACATCAATATCCTCCATAAGCTCCAATAAGACGGCATTGGCATTCTCCTGCTTCCGGAAGATCTTGCCAAGCAATCTATACCTGCCCAGAGACTTTAAAGTCTCCTGCAGGATGGCCTGGATCTCAGCCTCATCGCAGTCCACTGGTATGCCCATCACCATCAGCGACTTCTGGTCATCCACACTCATGATCCTGCACCAGTCCTCTAACAGTGCCACTGCCATTGTCCCAGATACTGAACCACTCACTCTCTATAGGTAGTAACTAGTGCTGTGGATAGGCACAGCCTTAGGGGTGATAATACTCCAAACTCACAACCCACCAGAGGGTCTCTCCACGAGCAGTCTCAAAATCTTCAAGCAGGACCAGTTACTTGCACTTCCCCGTTTGTCTGCAGACCTACCCCAAGGTAGTACCACTGCCTCTGGCTCTGCAGTCCACTTGCTGCTGTTTCCCTCCTGGACTTTGGCAGCCACGTGGCACTGACCCTTCCCTGACCGTGGAGGCACCTGGAAGAGCTGCTTTTCCCACTGTCACCTGGTCTCTGACACTTCTCCTCTCTCCAGTTGGTGGGACAATGTCTTCTACTCCAGCACCCAGGACTCCTGGAGAGATGCATTACAGAGGGTGGCTTAGAATCCTGGTGAAGCAATGGTCCTCTCTAACCCCAGCCCAGGAAGCATTCGAACTCTAGTTTGGGATGGAACTGGGGGTAGACTGGAGTCTTCGCCTCCCACTGCACTTTTGTCCCCCCCATTCTGATAGGGCGGTCCTGTTACACCCCCTCTTTGCTTACTGTGACTTTCCCCCTCTAGGGAAACTTACTGCAATCTAGTCTCCCTGCCTCAAATGATTAGTAGACATGTTGATTAATGTCTAGGTCCCACCCGCAGGCAGGATTCAAGATCTTTGCATGAGCTGGGGATGTAGCTCAATAGTAGAACATTTGCCTTGTGTTATGGTTTAGATAGGAGGTGTCCACCCAATGCTCACATGTGACACAATGCAAGGAAGTTTAGAGGTGAAATGATCGGGTTATGATAGCCTTAACCTCAGTGCAGTAATTCACTTGAAGGAATTAACTGGGCAGTAACTTAGGCAGGTAGGGTGTGTCTGGAAGAGACAGGTCACTGGGGGTGTGCCTTTGGGGTTCATATTTTGTCCTTGGTGAGTGCAGATCTCTCTGTTTCCTGGTGGCCATGTCCTGAACTGCTTTCATTCATTCACCACTCTCTTCTGCAGGATGTTCTGCCTGACCTTGGGTCTACAGCAATGCAGCCATCCATCTATGAACTGAGGATTCATAGTACCGAATAAACTTTTCTCTTGTAAAACTGCTCTTGTGAGGTCTTTTGGTCATAGCAGTGAAAAAGCTGACTAATATACTTAGCATGCATGAGGCCCTGGGTTCAATGCCCAGCATCACAAAACAAAACAAAAAACAAACATTTGCTATTTGAAAGATGAAATAAGATGCAGCTAGATACCTTTCTATGAGTTCCAGAATGTTCTGTTAGAGTCAAGGAGTTTATATATTCAGCTTCCAGCAAAGGACGATGTTACCCTCTTTCACACAATGTGTGAGTCAGCTTCAGCGAGGCCAAACTGTCCTGTTACACATAAATAAGAATGACATATTTTTATGCCTACTATCCAGTGATGAAGATTAATGCAACTTATTTAAAAACATGACAATCCAGTAGAGAAGGATGAAAAAATATGACCAGTCTTCAAAATTTAACTTAAATTGCCTAAAAAAGATGGAAATGCTTCATGTCTTTGATTTAAAAAGTCTTAGTTGGGCATGGTGGTGCATGCCCGTATTCCCAGACACTCAGGAGGCTGAGTCTGGAGGATCAAAAGTTCAAGGCAAGTCTCAGCAATTTAGCCAGAACCTAACCAATTTAGGGAGACTCTGTCCCAAAATAAATTTAAAAAACTTTGGACATAGCTCAGTAATAACATACCCCTGGGTTCAATCCCTAGTACCAAAAAAAAAAAAAAAAAGAAAAGAAAAAAAAAGAAAAATTCAACTGAGAGTTACTCAAACATTTAAAAATAAGTAATAAGTTACTAAAATCTCAAGGCCAAATAAGTTAAATCTGGAATTATGGAATAATCCACTTTTAGGTCTAGTGAGGCTCACAAAGGCACAAAGGGGTTGTTTCTTTGGCTATGGATGGTAAACTACTAACACAAAACTTTGCACCACCAACACTCATTTGATAGAGTGCTTGCCTGTCTGGACAGCAGAGAGCATAACGGGGAGGAGTCCCTACAATAATCATGAGGGTAACTTTTTTTTTCTTTTTTCATAATGGGGATTGAACCCAGGGGTGCTTTACCATGGTGCTATATCACCAACCCTTTTATTTTGAGATAGTGTCTCCTTAAATTTCTGAGACTGGCCTTGAACTTGAAATCCTCCCACCCTAGTCTCTGAGTTGCTAGGATTACAGACCTGTGCCACTGTACCCAGCTGTGACTGGATAACAGGCCACATCCTGTGCTTAGATAAACTATGATAACTACTAAGTCACTAGGCAATGGGATCTCATGGGGACACTGCAGCATACACATTCCATTGTTGACCCAAATGCTGTTGCTGAATATCCCACACTGAAGACGTGGAGTGTGTGTTGGGAGCTACAAATATTTTCTCCTTGGCCTGAAAATCTCCACCAATCCAAACTGAGTTCATATATCACAGATGCCAGTTTATTGCTATGGTAGCAGCTGTTCTAGAAAGAGTGGCTCCAAAATCCTTCTGGGAGTTGCTGAAGGTCACACCATAGTGCCAGAGAGCTAGAAGAACAAAATCTTGCCCCATACCTATGCCTGGAAGCCCCAGGGACCTGAGACTGCTGATAGCTCCAGGCCTGAATTTCCTTTCTAAAATCCAGGATGACTTTCCTCCCCATTGGAGTATCTAGAAGACACCTGGTATGTAAAAAGACACTGAAGGCCCAGGAAGAAACATCTCCCATGCTGTTAAAGTTTAGATATATGGTACCCCACCCCCACTCCAAACCTCATGTGTGTGACAATACAAGAATGTTCAGAGGTGAAAAGATTGAGTTATGAGAGTCTCAACCTAACCAGTATATTTATCCGCTGGGTGCATTAACTGGCTGGAAGATGTGGGTCATGGGGAGGGTACTTTGGGGTTTACATTTGTCCCTGGTGAGCAGAGCACGCTCTCTCTCTCTCTTCCTGTGCTCCCTGATGGCTCTGCTCTTCCACCATATGTCCTGCCTCACCTTGGGCCCAGGGCTATGGAGTCGGTCATTTATGGACAGAGGCCTCTGAAACCATGAGCCCCAAATAAACTTTCCCTCCTCTATGTTGTTCTTGTCAGGTCTTTTGGTCACAGTGACAAAGAAAGAAAGAAAGAAACAAACAAACAAACAAAAAAATATGACTAAAATAGAGGCCTGTGGAAAAGCTGTCATGCCAAAGTTTGAGTTACCTCTGGAGGACTCTTTTCGCAGGATAGAATTCCCAACTAGAATGTGAACCTCAATAAAGAGATTCAAGTGGATTGCCGATTGAATCCAGGGGTGTTTTATCTCCCCTGCCCTGTTTTATTTTGAGACAGGGTCTTGCTAAATTGGGGAAGCTGGCCTTGAATCTGTCACTCTCCTGCTTCACCGCCCTAGTTGCTGGGATTACGGATGAATGCCAATGTGCCTGGCAAAATATGTAAGAACTTGATATTCTTCTCACATAAAGGGGGCCCACAGGACAATCTGGAAAAGAAACCAGGCTTCCAAGTGAAGACCCCCCACTGAAATTGTTGGGGTAGTTTAATCAGATCCTGATCTTGGGTACGGTACCTCAATCTCTCGAAATCTGTTTCCTGGCTTGGAAAGCGGTCACCCCACTGGGCTGCGGTGCCACGGAAATTACACAAACTCGCTTTAACAAACGCGAAGCACATCTGCAGCTAAGTCCTGGGAGGAGACGAGAATATTCTCTGTCTTCCTGAATTCTTGTTTCGGAGATTCCTAATCTTCAAAGGGTGGCCGCATGCCCTCCAAATTTAACTCCATACATCAAACGATCCCTTACAGTTGAGAGGGGCGGACAAGTGGACAATGTGGCTGAATTCTTCGTCGCGCTGCCCTGCGCAAACCCACCCAGGTTACTGAGCATGTGCACACCTTCCTCCAGAACCACCAAAGGATGGACTAGTTTCTGCAGGCTTTTGCCCCAGTGGAGCGAGGTGAAGAGGTGGGGCTGGAAAGGACCAGCGGCAGTGGCCTCTGGCTGAAATGACGTAGGACAGAAGAAGGAAGACCCCCACAGAGAGAAAATGCCCAGTGATATCCACCAACCTTGCGGCCGTGGCTGCAAATCTGCACATATACATCGAGTCCCCCAATTTTCCTCCAGCTTGGCCCCACACAATTCACCGCACTCCCTCCCAAAGAGCACCTACTACCTACTGCCCACGTGACGCACGGGCCTCCTCACATGTAATGAGCCACGCAAGCGGCACCTGGCAACCTGGTAAACCTGGTGGCTCTGGCGCAGTGCGCAACTGGGGCAGAGATGTGGGCTCTAGTTGGTGCGCCCTGGAAGCCAGAAAGTCTGGCGATTTAGGGAATGTGTATCATTCTGATTAGCCCCACCCCCACTTTTAATGCTGATAGTGGTCGGAAGATACCAAATCATGACACTCTCTTGGTCCTTTCTTGGGGCAGTGGAGTATATTATGGTCCTGGTACCATAACTTAATATTTATGGTACCTTGGCTAATACAGAGGTTCTATTTCTTTATTCCGTAAACTGTGGCGCAAGGCAAGGATTCGCAGACGGCACTTTTCGCTACACACCATCTCTCTCATATTTCCCTTTCCATTTGCTAAGCCCCTCTGCAGTTCTCCCCTCCATTTTGTACTCTCCCCGCCCCCAACACTATGGATGCACAAAACGGAGAACCTTCTTATTTCCCTTTGCTTTCTGTAGCCCGCCTAGGCACAGAGGTACTTAGCTTTCGTGTCCTGGGGTCAGCAGGCACGTTCCTGGTCCTGCTACTTGACTGCACCCTTTCTCCTCCCAGCGCTTGCCAGGCTGACCCCCTTCCCCATCCATCAGTTCACACCTCGGGTAAGGGGGTGGGAGCCGCATCCCTGATGCGCCCTCGCCCCAGGCCCACCTCCGCAATGCGACAAAAGAGAGGCGCCAGGGCCATTGGTGCGAGAGAATGGCCTTGGGTCCTCGGCCCGCTTACCTGACCCATACTTACCCGGGCGCCGAGAGCGGTTAGCGGGCTTGCCCCTGCGCTTACGTTAGCCGGTGGTCTGGCCGCTTCACTTCCGGAGCGCAAGGCTTTGGGGCGCCGCCCTCCCCTCCCCTCTCCCCGCCGCCCTCCGCGCCCCGCCCCCGCCCCGCGCCCGGCTCCTCCCCGCGCTGCCGGGAACTGGCTGTCTCCCGGCTCCGCTGCCGCAGCGGCCGCCCTCCCAGACCCAACTTTGCCGCTCGCCTGAGCTCGCTGGGCGGCTGCGGGGGGCGTGGGCAGGGAGGGGAGAAAGCGGGGTCAGGGGGAGGGACCAGAGGGGTGGGTCGCCGCTCGCCAGCCCTCCTTCCTTTCTGTACACCTTGCGGTAGGCAGAGCGAGGCAGCCCCGGCAGCAGCTCGGGGTTTGTGCTCGCCGAGAGGGGACTTAGGGACCCGCAGACGGACGGACTGACTGGCGGAGAGGACCCTCCCCGTGTCCCCGCGCCATGGCCGAGAGGAAGCAGTCTGGGAAGGCGGCAGAGGACGAAGAGGTCCCTGCCTTCTTTAAAAACCTGGGCTCGGGCAGCCCCAAGCCCCGGCAGAAATTCTGTGGCATGTTCTGCCCGGTGGAAGGGTCCTCGGAGAACAAGACCATCGATTTCGACTCGTTGTCGGTGGGCCGGGGCTCGGGGCAGGTGGTGGCTCAGCAGCGGGACGTCGCCCACTTGGGCCCGGACCCGCAGCCGCCCTACTCCCGCCAGGGCCGGCGTGCCGGCGGGGAGCCATCTGTTGAATCGGGCCGGAAGGTGGAGATCCGGCGGACCTCGGGCAAGGAGGCTCTGCAGAACCTCAACGACCAGGTTGGTATGGGGGCTTGTGGGTGGAGACGGAGACGGGGCGCGGGGGTCGCCCCTCCCTCGCCCCCTTCTACCTCGGCGGAGAACCGAGCACCCCAGAGCACCCTAGCGTGCCCGCCTTCAGGACCCGCCCTGAATATTGCCTCCCGCATCTGCACGCGCGCACCCCACCCTGCCCGCCCCTTCTGAGCGCAGGGTGCGGCGAGGCTCGGGCTGGGCTCGGCGGTGGGAGGCTGTGTGCCCACAAAGGCTGCCGGCGCCTCCTGGGCCTGGGAGGTGGGGAGTGGRCATAAAGGACAGGCGGATCCCTGGCTGGGGACGTCGCATGGGGGTTGGGGTGACTAGGGTTCCATTCTTCTTAAATCCTCCCGGGCGGCTGGGCGGCTTCCGTTTGCAGCTGTGGCTGGGTGCCCCACCCTTTTTTGATGCAGCTTGGAGCGTGCAGTGGAGGGTTGGCGTGAAGGCCTGTGGACTCCCCGGGGGTCGGGAGGGGCAGGGGTTCCGACGGCTACTCAGCTACTCATGGTCACACCTCCTCGGGCACCCTCTGCGCTCTCGTCCTGAGCTCCGAGGTCAGTACCATGGCTAGCGCCTCCCTGGACAGCCTCGGAAAATCTCTCCACCCTGCTTCCTATTCACAGCAGGCGAAGAGCAGGGGAGGCGGTGGGTCACCCTAGGAAACCAAGAGGCTCCTAAATAGCCCATGTGGAAAACGGAGTTTTGCTTAAGTGTCTCAGTAAAGGCTTCCCAGAGCGTCACCCGCTCTGCCCGCTTGGGAAGCACCTTGGGGATGGGGACTTAAGTGGATTATGTTCAAAGGGTAAGAAAGAAAAGGAAAAAGCCTCCTCACGTTTGAAGACTGGTCTCCTTATATTGTGTTAATGGGGAGACAAAGAAGGTTGGTTGGATAACCTTGATTTTAGAAAATGTTTAATGTTTGGCACATGTGAGCAGAGGGTATTTAAAACCCAATAGCCTTCATACACACAATTTTTTCTTTAACAGGGTGATCTTTATACTTGTGCAATATTTTTTTTCACAGCCTTAATTTCTCAACTGATCATTTACAGTGCAAAATGTTTTAACACTCTTTTTTTTGTTTGTTTGTTTCTTTTCTCTCACACCCATGGTGAAGATGAGAAAAATCAATCAAGGATCATTTGTTGAATACCTGTTGTCTGCCTTGCCTGCTAGGGCAGGAGGAAGGTAGTCATAAAAAGTTCAAGATGCTTCCTCTCAAAGGGTTTCGAGAGAAGTTGGGGTCTTCTACGCACATTCACTGAGGGATTTCACATGCATTTATTCAGTGTTAAGGTTGCATACCCATCAGAGAACAATTAAGAGTAGATAAGAATGTTTGGCGGGCTGGGGTGTAGCTCAATGGTAGAGCACTTGCCTAGCACATATGAGGCACTGGGTGCAACCCTCAGCACCACATGAAGACAAATAAAATAAAGAATGTTTGGAGTATGATATTCCCCTTTCCTGCCATGGCATACAGTTTTGTAGCTTTTGACTTTTACAGAACCAATTCTAAGAACAGTAAATGATTTGCTGTCATTTTCAAAAGGCGAGGCAACTAATCAATTTATATTCACTCTCCCACTCCCTGTGCTGACATTCAATTTATCTCATATCCATGTTTTCCTATGAGGCAACCAGAAGAATCTAAATCTGAAAAAAAAAAATTTGCTTTGTTCCAAGGGATCAGACAATTGAAWCAAAAGTTTCTAATTAATATACCTGATGGTGAAAGTGGGGTGAGTGTGCTGTACTTCCTTGTGGGAGGACCCTGGGTGAGGCCAGGATCACACAAAATCATGATTGTGTATGCAGTGTCATGGGAGGCAAGTGTGCTGCTAATTCTGATGTCCTGGAGGGAGCAGAAAAACACCTGGAAAGCAAAGAAGAGATAATGTAAAGAATGGCAGATCAGGGGACAGGGGTTGAGAGTGGTCATCCTCTAATGATGGCAGTGAGATGAAGCTTGCTTTTGAAAGGCTTAGTTTCACTGGGTTAAATAACACATCTTCTTTGCTGTCTATTTAGAAGCTTAGATGTTTGATCATCAGGGCTATTTGTTCAGACACTCCCTAAATGTAATTGGACTTCTAAATTGTAACCCCAGAAGAGGGGGAGATTTGAAGAGAGAAATATCCAATCAAGATCCCATGCAGTTTAGCCTGCTTGGTTGTTAGTAATAGAGGGCACTTCTGCTCAGTCTTAGTCTTTCTGCAGCCCTCATCTAGCATTATCACATAAGGGCTACTCCTATGGGATTTGTCATTCCTAACTAAGAACATTTACCTGGATAGGTGCTTACAATGTTTGAATTTTTCATGCCTATGTAAGAGGGAAAAAGCATTTGGTGTGCATACGTGTATTTGTATATAACAATGAAGATTTCCAAAAGCACAGCTGAGCCCACCATTTTGACTGAATTGAGTGGTCATTACTTAGTTTGCAGCTAATAAGCAAAGGTGACCGCTGGCATCTCATTGCAGTCCTCTCAGGAGCCCTGGCACAAAGAGGCAAACTGACAGCACCCTGGGAACTTTGTCTAATGCCCTCTCTCTGCCCCTGAGTCTGTATTTGTAGGTACTGTTAATGGGAGGTCAGGTGTGGCTTTGCCTGCCTGTCATACTGAGAGTCCTGATGTTGTTCTAGCAACTTTGGGAAGGGAGGAAACAGCTTCCTTAGCCATGTGGCTCATAAGAGATGAGAGGCTGAGTGGATACATTGGCAGGGCCTAAATGAAAGATGCTGCAGAGTGTGAGCAACTCAGCACCAGGAAGCATGAGGTGTGGTTTGACCTGGGCTGTCAGGTTTTGGTGAAGGGAAAGGGGATAATGGCAGCTATGAGTGAAGAAAGCTTCTRTCTTGTTACTGTCTTTTTTACCATGTGTCACTGCAGACATCCACTTTGGGGTGCAGTGAAATTACATTGATTACCACCTGGGAGGGACTCTCGGATGGAGAACAGAAAGGCAGCTCCATAGTGAATTAGTAAGTTTCCTTATGGTAACAAAATATCCATGGAAGGCTACTTATGAGGTAAAGAGGTTTGTTTTGTCTGATGGTTCCACACACACACACACACACACACACACACACACACACACATACACTCACACACATCAGGGTCCCACAATTCTTTTTGAGAGCACACCCACAGTGACCTCAAACAAGGACCCACCTCTTAATGGTCCATGCCACCTCCCAGTACTGCCAATCTGGGGACCAAGCCTTTCCGGATAGACACTGAACATGTGCATCATAGCCTACTTGTCCCTTGCCAGTGCCCTTGTGTCCCATCCTCTTCCCTTCATCCCAGACATTCCCTCCCTTCCACCCCAGGCATGGTTTAGCCACAATCCGCAGCTCATCCGGGGATACTGGACTGTGAGCATGCCCTCCAGAAGGACGTCCAGGCCCTTCTCCTAGCAGCAGACACCCTGTGCARACTGGAGTGGCAGGGAAGTCACTGTCCTTTTCCAGGGCAGGTACAGTGAGTGAACCAGGGAGAGCACTGCTGTGACCTGATGGCTTGACTGTGTCTCCTGAAAGCTTATGTTGGAAACCTAATGCCCAGGGTGGCAGTGTTGGGGGCAGGGCCTATTAATGGGAGGGCTCTACCTTGTGCATGSATCGATGCTGATCACACGGTCATCCTCACTACATGTGGCCCCTTGATCTGACTTCCTGGCCCCCAGAACCACAAGCCAAATAATCTTCATTATAAGTCACACAGTCCCAGGTATTCTCTTCTAGCAGGACAGAGTGGTTTAAGACAACCACCAAGTCTCTAAAATGCTTTCTAATATCACCCCCAATGTTGGTTCCCACCCAGTCCCAGGTGCCCGCTGCTCTGTGGCCCCCGTACTGTTCAAYACCACCTCACCCTTCCTCATAGCAAGCCCCTTCTGAGTCCCTCTTCCTTAAAGGGCACTGTGTTCACTCTCCCCCTCTGCTCTTCCTTCTCCCATCCAGAACACTTTCCTTGAGTTAATCGTGGAGGSAGAGAAATCCTAGTGATTAAGGTAGTTCACCTTTTGTGTGAACGGCTAATGTCTAAGTTGTCCCAGAGATTCTTGTTTGATAATAGACTRGTCTGAGAAACAAAAGGGATGTCTAGTTAGTGGGATGTGTGGTGGAGATCTGGCCTGGAGCCTAGAACGAGAGCAATGATTTGGTCCTTTAGAAGTCACTGACATTGTTCCAAAGAGGAGGTATAGATATGACCATGTGGGCATTCAGGATTCAAAAAAGACCCGAGAGCCACTCAAGGTCATGGGGGGGGGGGGGGGGGGGGGGGGGGAGAGGGAGAGAAAGAACTGGGAGGGATCAGTACTTGGAAAGGGGAAAGAAATAATGATAATCCATTATAATTGGTTGCTCTTGATTCCCCAACTGATTATTGAACTGATCATATGACTGGTTAAATCAGAAACAAATTTTAACTTTGGTAAAATGCACATATTGTAAAATTTCCTGCCTCAGTCATTTTTAAGTGTGCAGTTCCATGTAGTGTTACGAATGTTCATTGTGGGGCTGGGGTTGTGGCTCAGTGGTAGTGTGTGCTTGCCTAGCATGCATGAGACACTGAGTTTGATTTTCAGCAACACATACAAATAAATAAATACATAAAGGTCCATCAACAACTAAAAAATATTTAAAAAAAATAAGAATGTTCATTGTTATGCAAATGATTTCCAGAGCTTTTTCATCTTGCAAAACTCAAACTCTGTACCAGGTCAACAGCCACTSCTGATCCCGCCCCCAGCCCTCACTCACCCTTCTCCTCTGAGTCTGACTACTGAGTCCGACTACTCAAGATACCTGGTGTAAGTGGAATCAAACAGCATTTGTCCTCTGGGACTGGATTATTTCACTCTRCATAATGTCCTTCAGGATTTCCCATATGGTAGCAAGGGACAGAATTTCCTTTTATAAAAGGCTGGAATAATATTTCCTATATTATTTGAATTATAACAGGTCATGGA